GGAGATGGCAGTGTTTTCCAGGTGATAATTGGAGGTTGCATTTGTAGTAGTTGCTGGAGTAATGCTTTGTAATACCACTCAAAAGTCCTAAAATATAGGACCTAAAATACAGAAAATATATTGTTGTCCGTAACACCATTGAGCAAGGAATAAGCTGTTGCAGTTTCTGTAGTGCATTTTCATAGAAATCTATTTCTATGAAATCTATTTCTATTTCCTATCTGGAGTTTTGAATTTGACTTTTTGTTAGGAGGTAACATTTAACAAATCCAACTCATACCAGGCATTTATTCAAGAAACAGACAAAAACACTTGATCAAACCAAATCTTAGTATTAGATTATGGCCATGAGCAAATTGTTGATGTTTATATATAAATGGAAGTAACTTTTATTTTTCTTTATAGTAAACGTAACATATTTGCTGTTTTTTTTTTTAAATCAAACTCTACTAAACAAAGTAGAAGAAAAATAATAAAAATACTGATGTGACAGTTCTAAGTAGAATAATTGTTAACATTTTGGCAGATATAAGTATAGAAATGCATACCTACATAGATAAAAAAATGAACTATCATTAGACTTAGGTAATATTTTGTTACTCTAACAAGCATTATGGATCTGTCTGAGCCCTTATAGTTTTATACTTTATAAAATACATTTATCAGTATATTATATGAGACTTGTACTTTATTTAAGCAGTTCCTTTTAGATGGACTTACAGATTGTCATATTATTAGCAGAATTTCTGTGTATAGTCTTGTTTATAATTTGCTCAGTTCAGTTGTTTATCAAGATGCATGTTTATTACCAAGCTTGACTACAATTTCATATATGTATATTGACATTTTAAATTACTTGAATAATCATGAAGAAATTTTTTTCCAAATTTAAGAGAATTTTTGGTTTACTCGCACCTTTGTCAGCACTACTTGGTGTTTACCAGTATGAATAAATGCTATCTTATTCTTTGGTTAGCATTTTCTCAGTTGCTCATAAGTTTAATATGTGTATGTGTGAGTGTATACAGAGAACTTATTTTTCTTAGATTAAGTTAGTATTTATAATAATGGAATTTAAATATTACCAAAAGCAAGGGATCAATGAAAACATTGTATATCCAACTTTAGTAATACCTAAAACACTGGGTTGCAGTAGCCTTGAGTATTTATGCAAGAAAAGAGGAAAAAATAAAATTACATAGTAAGCATTCACCTTATTTTCCAATATAAGAAGTTAGGCAGATAATTAAACAGAGAGGATCAAATGCTTATGGTTTTGTTCTTTGAAGAAAGTCGTAAAGCCTTTCAGCAAGATTGAGGGAAACAAAAAAGCACAAATAAGGGATACTAGAATTAAAAAGGATTTAACTGTACCAAAACAAATTTTTAAAGATTATTATGAAAACCATGAAGAATTACATACCAAATTAAGTTAAAATACTTAACAATAGAAAATTTCCTAGGAATATTTAGTTTAGCAAAACTGATTAAAGAATTAGGACATCATTTGTATTAAAAACTCTTTAAAAAACTGATTTAGTGTTCTAGAAATCTGTCTAGCAAACAAGCAAGAAACAGGTCCACATAATTTTAAAATAAGGTCTTCTGAACTGTCTTCCAGAGAATTTAAGAATGAAAAGAAATTCCTGACTTGTCCAATGTGTCTAGCATAATCTCCAGACCCAAACCAGATAGGACAGTATAAGAAAAGACTAGTATAGGCTAATTCTACTTCTGAATATAGGTGTAGCAGTCCTAAATGAAGTATTAGCAAATCAGATACATCAGTATATTTTTCAAAAATTATGACTTAATTCCTTTTGGGACATAATATGTATACATGTAAAAAAATTTAAGAAAAATGTATAAGAATGATAAAAATTGATAGTAGAAGTTTACTGTGGAGAGGAGGAGGGATGAGAATGTGATAATAGGAGAAGTACCTTCAGGGAAACATAAATTGTGAGGTTTAATTTTGAAGGTGAATGGTGGGTACATAGATGTCCATTGTAATATTCTTTTTGCTCTTTCATATATATTAAATATTTCACGCAGTAATACTTCAGTTAGCAGGCTTGACAACTTGTGAGTTACTTTAAAATACCTGGTGATCATTATTATCCAAAGTACATGTGTGAAGACATGAATTGGTGTGAATATACTATGTATACAACCAGAGATATGAAAAATTGTGCTCTATATGTGTAATAAGAATTGTAATGCATTCTGCTGTCATATAAATAAAAAATACCTCATTTTCTGTAGAATGGCTTAAATGTTCCTTTTGGAGCTATACAAACTAGTAAAAAAAATAAGTATAATAGCATACTTTTCATACACATTTTCATGGATATTGTGTTAAAGGGCTTGTTGGGAAGAAGAAGGTTCTTTCACATTCATATGAAAATAGGTGGCTTTGGTAATGTTTTCAGCCTTGCTAACAAGTTCTTTTTTTTTTTTTCATTCCTAGAATAAAAAGAAATTGTTTAGATATAGATATGGGGTTGAAATGTTGGATTTTATACCATTCCTTTCCAAATAATAATTGAACATTTACACTTTGCCAGATGCAGTGTTGAGCTGTGGGCACTTACGGACACATACCATATGTAATATGTAATACCACATTTAAGATGTGGTATTTGACCTCAAGAAGCTTAAAATTTGTGGGAAATAGATGATCTAGGTGCCAAATCATAGATAACATAATAGAGGCAATTTGGAATATTTCTTCCCAAGTAGGAATTAGTTTTTACCATTTTCTTATAACTATTTTGTTGTTTTATTTTAAGCAAAGTTATATGTGTATATTTTCAGGAGTAACGTAAGCATTTTGGACTACTAATATTCATGTAGACATTTTTAACCCTCTGATATATTATTTACACTTAAAACTGGAAGAGATAAAATAGGCCCCTAGATGCTTTGTAGAAATTGAAATTTGTCTGTTTCACTGGACTGCCTTTCTAGTTACCCTTTTTAAAAAGGGTATATGTTTAAGAAGCTATAGTATTGTCTGAACCTGCATGCCAGTTTACCTGTCTGAAATATAACCACTTTATAATTTAAAATGAACTATTCCTATGACTTCATTTTTAGAATTTAAGTTGCTGGCAAGTAAAAACCGTTGTCAATCTTGGATTAATTTCAAGGCTTCTTTGCATTCATAAAGATTTATTTTACCTCGTATTTCCTATGTTTTTAATCCTACATATTGTCCTTGTATGGTTCCCCTCAGGCAATTTAGTAGCTTTAAAACTTCAAGTAGTAAATCTGAGTCAGTTTGTTTTAACCTGTTTGAGATATATATATATTTTAAAGTATGTCATGAAACAGTAAACTTTATTTATTCTTCATTTAAAGTTTCTCCTTAAGTATTTGGTTTTTGTAGCCTCAGAGCTGTGTAGCAGCTTATATTGGGCCACATATAACAAAAACTCAAAATGAGGGGAATTGATTTTCTCTCACACATATGAGATCTAGAGTTAGGAAGTACAGAAATAATAAGAGCACAGCATCAGGAGCAAGCTTCTTCTGTCTCATCTCATTGTTCCATGGTCCCAAATGGCTACTTCAGCTTTAGCACTCATAACCAAATTCCAGGCAGCAAGAATGAAGGACAGAAAGGCAAAGGAATCCTTGGTGGCTTAGCTTGTCATTCTAAGCAGACATCCCAGGAAACAGTAACCATTTTATTTGTATATCATGAACCAGAACATAGTCTTGTGGCCACTTGACTGTGTCCGTAGCCAAGGAGCCTGAATTCTCTAGTATTTTATTTCTATTACAGTCTACCCAGCTAGACGTCTGGGTTCTGGTCATTATAAAGGAAGAGTAAAATTGATGTTAGAATGAGCACCCTAGAGCCTCTGCCTCACAGTTATTTCACAGTTTTTGTAGGAAAAAGCTTGGTAGTGATCAGATGGCTTGATAAATTGGCTATAGTATAATCATGGCAAGTGATATGAGGAAATCTCTGATCTGCCTGTTGATTTGAACTTTCATCAACAGCCACTATCATTTACTGTGTTGTTATTTTCCAAATATATGTGTTTCCTACTTTTCATACATTATTATCATTTTCAAAAATTTTTATTCTAATCTGGGGATTGAACTAGGGCTTCATGGTTTTAAGCAGCACTCTACCACTGTGCGACACCCCCAGCCCTCTCATTCAGTTTTTATGCAATATTCACACCACTCTGGTAGGCACTATTTCATGTTACAAATGACAGCACTAAGGCACAGCAGTCCACTGCCACCCTCGCCCCACCTCGTGTACGTAGAAATAACTTGGGGTAGCTCAGACATACACACGAAACAAAAACAAAATTATATTCACAGTAAAGGGAATATGGGAATGTAAAAGCAAATCTAGTGAAGTGTGGGAACAATTGATAGAAAATTAAATGTGGTTTTATAGAGATGGTAAGTAGACTTGCTCTGTCTTGTTTATCTGCTTTATTAGAAACTAAAAGGCAAAAAAAGAAGGAATTTTCTCTTTGATCTCTTGGCATGCTTATTGTTTTAGTCATATAATAACTCAAATGCTTGTATAGAATACTAGTTTTTCATATTTTGTCTTCAAAGTATCATAAAATAATCATAGTATATTATTATATTTGCTGATTTGTATGTATGGAAGGTGAGAGTTAGAAAAGGCAGATATCCATTGTTTATTTTTTAAAATGCTAAAACCCAAATAGCATTTTTTAGCTGGCTATAGATCATGTGCTCAGTAAAAAGTAGGGCTTGCCTATTTATTTATATCAATGCTGTTATCATAGGAGTCTTGTAAAATTAATACTGGTTTTGCATAACTATTTGTTAGAGCTTTGCTTATACACACAAGTATGTGAGCTCCTTGAGGATAACACAGTTTGCCTTATTCATTTTTTTTCCTCTAGTGTCCTTGGCAAAACAGGAAGTATCAGTGAGTAAAGAATGAATGAATGTCTAGTAAAGGAGTTTAATGACTTTTATTTTGTTTTATTTCTCAGGATGTGATCTTCGTGGCCAGAAGCTAAGTTTTAAACTACCCCAATGGATGCAGACAGTGATGTTGCATTGGACATTCTAATTACAAATGTAGTCTGTGTTTTTAGAACAAGATGCCATTTGAACTTAAGAAAGATTGCTTTGGAGGGAGCAAATGTAATTTATAAGCGTGATGTTGGGGTAAGTATTTGAATTTTGTATGTGTACTATCATAACCTAATTTTATACTTCCATGAATGATACTACAGATAGTTTATGAGTACCTTACTATGTGCTAGTTGTACTCCATAGGTTGTTGAGTCCTGAAGACAATGGCCCCTCCTCTCATGGAGGTAGCAAATTTTGGAAATTACCTATCTTTGAGTCTTAGCAAAGAATTCATTGGTTAGACATGTTATTCTCTCAGTTTTTTAAAAATAATTAGATATGTGTTTATTAGACTTTTATCTGGCTCTGCTGACATATGTTTCACTCAGAAAGATAGCATTCTTTAAGAAAGCATCATTAGAACTGCTAAAATTATCCTCAGAAATAATTCTAAAGATTGTTTACCAGTCATCCATCACTACTTTGATAATATTTCTGGTTTGTAATTTATCTGCAAAGCACCTTTTACTTGTAAAATGAGAAATCACGATTCCTGTATATACTTCTATCAGGATTTTTGGTAAATTTATACATCTATACCTGTATAGATATATACATTTCTTTGTGTATTCATATAACTCAGTTGAATCTACAAAAAGGCCGTGAATTTTAGGAAGATTTTACTGCTAAGGTGACAAATCATCACTGATTCTCTTGCAATTTCAACTCTAGAATCTAGGCTAGGGCTGGGGGAGTAGGCATGTGTGGATGGAGAGGGAGAAAAATGTGTTTCCTTAGTGTTCTTACAGCTTGTTCAACAGGCAGATCTCTCAATGTCTTTGAACTGAAGAAAGGGACCTTTATATTTCAAATGTACTTAAATTTAATTATATTTGAATAGTGCTCTAATATATACTTTTTGATGTTTGCACATCAGGAGCTTTGGAGAAGCTGTGTCTTACATTTGGAACATTCTTCCCTCAATATCTTCACTGCATTCTGATCTCTCACCACACATGACCTCCATACCGACCCTGATCAATCTATGGCAACACCCATTCCTTCACTGTTCTCTAATTTGTAGCCCTGCTTTATTCTGCTTCATGGTACCCATCACTACATTATATTGCATCCTAGAGTTGAGATGCCTGTTACATACTCAAGCTCCTCACTGAAATCTTCAGAGCAAGAGAAATGTCAGAGCGAGAAATGTAATTTTAGATTCCTTATATATAAAAGGTATTTAAAGGTCTGGGATAGAACAAAATTATCTACACAGTCTGAATTAATAGGTCAAGGATTAAGGTCTAAGATAATATGTAAATTTAAATTTTCATTTTAACTTTTCATTTATGGAAATACTTATTACATGCCCATTATTATGTGTAAGAAAGAAATAAATGCTTACTGGGATAAAGTAATATAATAAATCAGGCATGTCTCCTTAAAACTCTAGTTACATTTTTAGTTTTTTTGTCATAGGCAATATTATCAAATTAGAACATTACTAAATTTGGAGAGACTTAAAACTGCCAAAAATGACAATAAATAAAATACCTCATAAAATTTCATACATGACTGACTGACTGAGAAACATTGGACTGAGTTTATATTGCATTTAAATGTTTCTCACCACCAGTTTCTCCATCACCTAAAACTTCTCAGTCAACCTTCCTAGAAAAAAAAAATCTCTCCATGTCATCATGCTAAAATACTAGAGCAATGTTTCACACTTTCCTTTCTAAAGGATCCATGAAAGTTCCATTGATATGACTAGAGTAGAAAGAGTTGAACTGTTTATGTTTTTATAGTTTGTTGATACCAAGTATGTAGTGAGAGATTTATGTAGATCTTGTTTTTTAATTAATTAAATATTTAATGAGATTAATTGTGTTCTCTATTCAGTCTTGAACTAAATTTCATTTGGGGTGATTTAGAGAGAAGTTAACTTTGAATAAGCTTGGAATAATACTTAGACATTGGCATGGCTATACAAAATAGAACCATACATGAAAATTAACAATCATTAGGTAATCAGATTATTTTTTTTCAGAAAGTATTAATGAAGCTTAGAAAACCTAGAATTACAGCTACAATTTGGTCCTCAGGAAAAATCATTTGCACTGGAGCAACAAGGTAAATGTTTCTTGAGTTCTTAGTTTTTTATTTTTTACTTTCCCCCCATGGAAAGGGTGCTTTTCGTAGACTTAAAAACAAAGTTCTGTGTAAAGTTGGTTATGTTCCTCAGTGTGAAGTATTTTTTCCTGTGTAACTTGGTCTTTTTCTTTCCTTAAAACATAGCGAAGAAGAAGCTAAATTTGGTGCCAGACGTTTAGCCCGCAGTCTGCAGAAATTAGGTTTTCAGGTAACATTTTCAAAAATTACACAAAACTGCAAATATTCAAGGATTTATTTTTGTAAAATAGAATTCGTATGATTGACTTTTTCTGAGTTTTATATACTGCCCTTCAGCATGAAAATTTGGTAGCAAAACTTGGCTGTGTGGATATTTTAAAAAGATCCTGGCTTTTCCTAATCTCCTTTCCTTTAAAGAAACTTGTTCCCTTCCAAGTTAATTGTCAAAAATGCCAGGTCAAAATGATGAGCTGAGACCTGCAAGGCCCTGGTGATGTGGACACACTGGTTAGCAGGCTTATTGCTGTCGGCCTTTTCAAATATTTGTACAGACAAAACTTTGAAATAAATTATTATTTATTATGAACCTGCTAGGTCACTTGCAAATGATGACTAAGTGGAAGAGAAGGGCGAAATAGTCCTTGAAGGTGTGGGCCAGGCTGTTTGGGATTTGGATGTTTATCGTGTTGGGAAGTTTAGTTTCTTTCTGATGACCTTAAGTCTTAGAAGGAGCTGAACTGCTGGTGGGGAGTGGGGGTGGGGAGTGGGGCAGGGTCTGGGGGATGCTGGCACTTGAGGAGAGTGGCAGTAGAAGTCTAAAGGTGAAGCTATGTGATAGTGAGGCCATTTGACACTTTTCTGGCTTTCTACTGCTTTGTGTAAGTAATACTGACTTGGAGGATAGACAGTGCACCCAAAATTGTGGTTTTAGGAGGAATGTTGGAAAAGATAAGGAGATGAAACAATTCAAGATGTTGGTAGGAGTGGCTGAAGTTATTAATGTGAAGAGAACATTTTCAGCCTGGGAACTGCTTTTCTTAGAATAGCATTAGAAACACTGAGGGCAAACCCAGCTTTTTAAAAACAGTGTATCATTCTAGCCCCCAAGGAAAATAAACCTCTAGTTACATTCAAGGAAATGTCTTTTTACCTTAATGAATATTAGAAAGACATCTGACCTTTGGAATCCAATGTACAATCTCTCCATTTACTGACTTTTTAAAGTGACAGCTTTTCCATTTTGACTCCTTTAAAAAGGAAGAATTAATTTAACTTTTTTCTTTACTATTTCTTGCTTTAATTTTTTTCCTTACTATTCTTGTTTCTTTGATAGTTCAAACTGTCTCATTTAAATTAACAAATTATATACAAGATTTAAAAATCCTCAAATGTGCCATTTTAATCATGCAGATATCTCAGATTTTACTATTTTTTTAAATGAAGTTTTTGAGCTTTTTTTTCTTTCATTGAATTACAGCTTTTAATACTAAACAACTTATAATACTAAATTCATGCTCAGGATGTTTGGTTCTCTATATAAGAGTAGAAAGTTAATAAAGAGTGCCATGATGAGCAGATTCTTCTGTTGCAAAATAATTCACTGAGTTTCACTTCTCTCCCAAAGGTAATATTTACAGATTTTAAGGTTGTTAATGTTTTGGCAGTTTGTAACATGCCCTTTGAAATCCGTTTGCCAGAATTCACAAAGAACAATAGACCTCATGCCAGGTAGGTCTTTGAAGAATCAAGATAACTTAAAAATTTGAGATTACCCATCAGACTATAAATATTCATATTAATTTTGGCATTTTTAAAATGTAGTTATGAACCTGAACTTCATCCTGCTGTGTGCTATCGGATAAAATCTCTAAGAGCTACATTACAGATTTTTTCAACAGGAAGTATCACAGTAACAGGTAATGTGTGATGTTGAAACCAAACTTGTCAATTACAGACCAAATAATATAAGAGATGTGTACACTAAGATAGAAATAATGTCTAATTTGTCCCCTTTCAGTCACTACTTCTGCACTTCAAGGGCAGTAAGTCTTCTGACCTTTTTTTTTTTTTTTTTTTTAAAGAGAGACTTTTTTAATATTTATTTTTTAGTTTTTTCGGTGGACATAACATCTTTATTTTTATGTGGTGTTGAGGATCGAACCCAGCACCCCGCACATGCTAGGCGAGCGCGTTACCACTTGAGCCACATCCCCAGCCCTAAGTCTTCTTTTTACCTTATAGATAAGTCTTCCCTCCTTTTGTACTATTTGTACATTTTATATCCTGTTTTGTGTCTAATTTCATTCTCCATTATCTTAGTGAGATCATTCATTCTCATTGTTGTATAGAATCCAATGTCCGAATGTACTCCATAGGCGTTTCATTAGTTTTCAGATTGGAGCTTTTAAGAACATTCTAATATGTATCTTCATAGTATTTTTTTAAATTTATGATATCTTATAAAATACCAAAGAGAAACCCAGTCTCTGAATTTCATAGAGATTTTTACATAATTAGAATATCCAAATATAGTTGGTACCTATTTGTTACATGTGTTTTGTTATATCTTTTGAAATTAAAACAAGTATTTGGGAAGGAGTAGTTTTGGGAGACTAGCAAACATGTCAAAGGGCAGCATTAGCATACAAGATGATTCTTAAAGGTGCTGTGATTGTGAATCAAGCAGAGGCATTGCATGAGAGCCAGTAGGTGCATGTTAGGCAAAATTGAGTTGAGGAACAATTCTTTAGTCTTGGAAAATGGCTTTTTATTCCTTTAATTCTTAGAAGAGAAACATTAACAAGTAAATTTTAATTTTGACCATCTGTGGGTTTTCACATCTTCCTTGGGGACTTTTAAAGCCAATTGCCAGGATCCTGCCTGAATCTTAAAAACAGAGTGGTGGAGAACAAGTCTGTTTGTTCCCTTTCAGCTATCTGTTTCTATACTTTGGAGCCTGAACTTATAAGAATATCCACAATGTACTGTTAAGTCCTGCTAAGTATAGAGTTAACAACTCATATGTAAAAATCTGTTTATTGAGTTGATGGACAATTAGACAATATAACAACAAATTGAATACAGTCGACCTAGTTAATTACCATGCAATATACATGGACACCTGGAATATCCTGTGAAATGTTAACAATTCAGTGAAACACCTTCTGAGTGGTTTCTGTGAGGAAAGTTCTATTCTATATGGAGGGGGTGAGGTGAGGTGAGTCAGAAAAGAGCAGACCAATACAAGACATGTTCAAAACCTTCAGAGTCTACAATGAGTGGATCTGTAAATATTCACAGTTTTTCAAAACGGGTAATTATACATTGGTGAAACCATTTTATTCGAAATTTTGTGAAAATACTTTTATACCTTTTTTGTTTGTTTGTTTTTAGCTACTTAAATAAATAAAAGATTATATTTTTAAAAGTTGTTCCAGAGCTGTACAGGTTAATTTATATGTAGCATTACCTCACTGCCTTCCCCACTCATTGATTTGGATAAACTCTGAGGTTACAGGGACCAAATTAGTAATAAAAATGCATTCCAAGTAGTAGTAAATTTATGAGGAATTTTAGACTACATAGTATAAAAAAGCCAATATTTCAGTAGCAACTTTATTTTACTTTGCTATGTTCCTCCATATTCCTCTGAGTCTCAGTTGAAGTCTAACCAAAAGCCAGAAAACAGTAACCAAAAAAGATAGTGGGTGTCTAGTTCTGTGTATTATTCTTCCCTGTGCATATTTTTGTGCTTTTTATTCTCCTCCGTAGTTTTGTTTGTTTATTTTTACTTCTTTTCATACTGGTACCCTAAAACAAAATGAATAACACATTTGGTATTTCAGATTTCTTTTAATTATGCACACACAAAAAATTGTGTTCTCTGATTCTTATTAAAATTTTTTTCTTGATTCTTTTTGTGGTTGTTTGTATGATGATGTATGTGAATTTGATATTCTAAAGTAGATGATATTTTTAACTGAAAAATCAGTATTTCCTAGCTTCTCAGCTCTTCTCAACTTTTTCAATTGTGTTCATTTCAGGGCCCAATGTAAAGGCTGTGGCTACTGCTGTGGAACAAATATACCCATTTGTGTTTGAAAGCAGGAAAGAAATTTTATAACTCATCACTTAATTGGTTAGAATCTCTAACTGAGCACCTTTTAAAACCTGCTGCACATTGGACTCAAAGCAAAAGGAAAACTGGACCAACAGTAATTGAGGAAATAGACTCTTTTATTCACTCACAGCTACAGTGTAAGCTCCAGTCCCTTTGGATTTTATTTCAAACTTTGCTGTAATATAAAAAGGAAGTTTACAAGACATGACATTGCTGCTTTTACAAAAGGACATTCTATTTATTTTCGCAGTAATTCTCATGTCCCCATAAGCAGAGCTGTCACAATGTGCACTACCTTAAATTGTTTTATTGTTGTCATTGTAATTTTTTTCCAGTTTGAGCTAATGTGTTTTATTTGTGAATAGTCTTTTACATTTTTGTATGCTGAATATGGGCACCAAAGAACCTGTAAAAGTTATCTTTTTCAATTGAATGTGCACAAATAAAAGTTTGGAAAAGATCTTTATTCATATCCATTCTGTAACTTTTATTCCCCATTTTCTATTTTAACAAAAATTGTATTCATAATTCTTTTTTTTTAAATCTATGCAAGTTTAGACTTCGGCTAAAGTGTGTTAGCTTATTTTTGAAGTGTATTTTGTATATATATATATGTATATGCTGTGTGTGTAAAGTATCTTTTCATGCTCTGTTACCAAATAACAAATAGGAAATTTTTTTCTTGGGGATTAGAAGTAAACACTTGTATATACTCTAGGGAACTGGGTAGGACTTTATAAAGGATAATGTTTTATGTTACTAATTTAATATGATAGAAAATGTTAAATAACTTTTAAGAGTTAAGAAATTGTAGTTTTTAAAAAAGAAGCCTCTTTCCCACTAGATGAATATGAGAAAGAAGCTGTGATGGGTGGTACCTCACCTGTTACCTTTGTTATTCTGGAGAGACTCTGTAGTTGTAGGGAAGTGATTAAGGTTCTTGGTGCTCAAGGCTATATTAAGAGTCCTGTCAGAAGTTGATAACATTGTGTAGTTTTAACAAGAAGTGCCCACAAGCTGCCTCTGTGCCACAGTATAATTATAATATAGTTGAACTTGAACTTGAAAGCCATTTTGCAAGTTATGTCTTTCCCTTTACTGTGTCTTATTTGATGGAGCTAACGAGTGGCAATTCAGTGTATAGGATTGCAATGCTTAAAATTATTATAAATAAGTGTTTATGAAGCAGTGGCCTCTGGCTCACCCTGAGCCTTGGAATGGTAGCACAGGATCGATCAGTCTGCAGTTGCACTCTTCTTACATTTAGGAGTTTAGCATAATTAACAGTGGTTTTACCAAGAAATACAGCTGTGTAGAATTGAATCAGCTTCTCAGTAGAAATTTAGTAAAATCAGTATTCCAACAGTGTCCCGAAAACCTGAATTACCAAAATGTCTTGAAACATTTGTAAAATCTTACAACATCTGAACCTTCATGTTCAGTACATTTTCCATACCATATTATAAAACCTTGAAAACCTAGCTTAAGCACTGCACTGAACAATATATTTTCTGTTTATTTTTATCTTCTTTCTCTCAAAGCCTTCCCCTACCCTGTCACTCCCTCAAATGTAGGAGGCAAAAGCTAACTTTTATACTTTATTTCTTATGAAAGATTCAAGTGTGTGTTTTAGAATTCTATTCTTTTTTTCCCTACATTTGTGTTTATTTGCTTCATTTCAAGATCAGTAGGATAGCTAAACTCATAAATACAAAGAATATTACTAGATGAAAGAATTATAGGTAGACTTTTTTAAATTTGAGATTTTTCCACTTAGTTTTAATAAACAGTCATAAGTAAACTGTCCTGCAGTGTTCACAAAAAAGAGTGGGGGGGAAAGAATTATACAACTAAGGTGCAGATCCAGGTAATTTAACATTTTCAGTATTCAGATGACTTGAGAACCTTGCAGATCAGTAGAAATGAAAATGCTTTATCTGATGGAGAGGAAAGCTAGCCTGAACAAGTCTGGATTTAGGTTGCTACATGTATGCTCACCACCTGGCAGTGTTTGTGGGTGATCCACTAAGTATGACAAAGCTGGGAAGAAGCAAGTGTGTCTGATGTCTTCTGGCTTTCCACAAGTACTGTACATTTTTTATATAAATAAAAGCTGTGAATATATACATACAAATTATAAGTATTACCCCCTTTTTATTTTTGAAAACCAAAAGGCTTCATTTGATGGGTGTGGGGGACAGGTATTGGGTAAAAATGAATCTGAAGACAAAATGGCCTGCTCACAGACTCAGGATGATAAAAGGAAAATATAAGAGAATGTTTAAGACACTGAAGTTGAAGTCACAAGTAGTAAACCATCTTGGTTTATTTTCTGCCCATTTGCAATGAATGGCCAAACCAAGAAATAGCTTAAGTATAAATGGTGTTTGAACTTGAAAGGAATTACGTTACAATTTAAAAAAAAAAAAAAAATACCTTAAACAATCTGTGATGCTTAGAAAAAAAACAAACAAAACCAAGATAACATGAAAACCTGACTTGTATTTTTAAAATCCTGGCATGTAACTCTTAAGTTAAACTGCAGAACACATTTTGCCTTCTTGTTCCAAAACAAAAGCACACTCTAATTTGCATATGAGGGAATCAATATCTATTTTGCTCCTTCCTGCCAACTTTTAATTTGGATGGTACATCTCAGAACCAGACTTTTAGTCATTTTCCTGAGTCTTTGATATTAATGATTTACTATTTATATAGATTTATAGTCTTTTCCACTTTTTAAATGAATTTAGTAGATCATGTACCTTTTATCAAACTGGGACAGTTTGTTAGCTAAATACTGGGGCTTTGATATGTAGGATTCTCTTATGATCAATCATTTTTAAAAATTATTTTTCAAGTTAGGTTGTTCATGCATTAAAAGTTTTTGTGTGTCTTCCATAGTTTATATTAGTAATCTTATGGGTTTCTACTTAAGTGGTTCTAGATTCTTTATTATGGATTTTCTTTCATTCTGAATTCTCTTGATGAAATACCTTATCTAGTCTTAAATTCAACTGGAGAAATGCAGAATAGAGCAATTCATTACTGTTGGGTAAAAAACCCACTGGATGTTTGCTGGTTTGGTTGGCCATCTCTTGTTTCATCACAGAGAAGAACATAGGGAATTGTCCTAATTTCTGAATGTCATTTATTAGGTCTGTATTGTTCTGAACGTCAGCATCATTTATAGCCTCTCTGCCATAACCTGAGGTAGAGATATTCCTGAGACATGGGAGGAATTGCAGGAAACCATGGATTACTAAAAATTATGAGAGTCTTCCAAGGAGAAAATTTATAAGTTTGACCTAATAACATAAACCTAATTGCTTAGAGATTTAGATAAATAACCTAATGGACTGATTCCTTTTCTGGTGTTTTACTAATAGCTACTTCTAAATAAATATGGTTCCAAGATTTTAAAATTTTCCTCTTTAATCATTTAAAAAAATGGAAAATGCTTATTTTTCTCAAGTATTACACAGAATTTTCTTTTAATATTTTATATTAACATGAAAGTCATAATAGTAGTATATTTTGCATTAAATTTTACTTCATAATTCATAAGATAAGCTCCCATAATCTTTATTCTTGTAGAACTGTAACTAGGAATTACCACAAAATCCTAGCCAGGAGCCTATCCTAATCTAGAACACGTGTGTAACTAAATTGTCTACATTGCGTGTCCTGGTTCTTTTTTACACAAGACCCAGTGCAAATAGTATCTTAGTAGGCAAAAATGTAAGCTTGGATCCAGAACACTTGTGTTTCTGAATAATAAAGCTGCAACTGGCCTCCATACATAGCTTAAGGCAAAGGTTGATCTCTTTACTAGGATTTAGTCTTTAAAAGCCTGCGGTGTGAAGGAGAAAGTATTGAACCAGCCAGTATTTTCTTTAACCTGATATCTTGCTCAAAAAAAAAAAAAAAAAAAAAAATTAGGGCCATGTATCTCATCTACCTTTTGAGATTCCTTTGGGGAAGAGGGAATTAAAGGAAGTCTATAATTTCAGGTGTCCCTTTAAAAATAGCTTACGACACTGAATAAAAACCTGGGCGTGGGGAGAGGAGGGTAAATATGCCACTGGTAGTGCTTTCATCCTGTATCAGCATTCCTAAGGCCTTGAGGCCATTAGGTCTCTGGAGAAAGCTGCTTTGGTTGTCCCCTTCCACACAGCTTTTTACACTCCAGGAGCTGCTCTTGGGGTTTTCTTTTTTGAAGCTGTGTTGGCATTAATTCTTCTTGGTGATGACTCATAAAACAAATGTTGTTTTTCACATAGTTCCTGAAAGAGAAAGAAGCACTCATGAAAATGTCATTCTTAGTTTCCATACTTGAAAAAAATAGGCATGCTTTTATTTTTTAAATCACCCTGGAGTTTTAATGTTTTAGCTATGCAAAAATGTTTTATTGTGAAGCCTCTTATATCATGAAATATATAAACCCTAGAACCTGGGTCAATTTCTTGCAAAAAGTAAGGTGTAAGTTAGGGTGTGTTCTCAGAACACAACTCCTATGACTCTGCAGGCCAGGCTTCCAAGGGTTAGAAAGAGAACCAGTGAGGGCTGGGGATTTAGCTCATTTGGTAGAGCTCTTGCCTCACATGTACAAGGCCCTGGGTTCAATCCTTAGTACTGCAAAAAATAAAAAATAACTAGTGGAGATTTTATCCCAAGTCCTATCTCATTTTCTTCCATTTCTCCGATTCCACCACTATGCCTGTATTTACATCTATATATTTTGGCTTCTTTATTATCCACTCATTTCTGCATGAATAAGTTCTTTTCTATAAGGTTATTCCCACCAGCATAAAATATGCTTTAGTATTTTATCTTTATTTTACAAATATCTTTCAAATATCTTTTTTCTATAATTTAACCACTTAATCAAGTGGCTGTGCCCTGGTAGGTGGTAAGGATGGAACTGCATAAAGACTCCTGCTTTCAAAGCTTAGGTTTTCCCAGGGGAGACAAGCATGTAAGCATATAATTTAAGTAAAAGTGCTGGTGGGAAAAGTAAGCAGTAAAAAGGGAAAAGAATGACTTTGGGGGAGAGATTGTATTATACAGTAACATGGGGCCGGGCACAGTGGCACACTCCTGCAATCCCAGTGGCTTAGGAGGTTGAGGCAGGAGAATCATAAGTTCAAAGTTAGAGGCCCTAAGCAATTTAGCAAGACCCTGTCTCCAAATAAACATAAAAAAGAGATGGGGATGTGGCTCAGTGGTTAAGTGCCCCTGGGTTAAACCCTGGGTAGGGGAGGGGAGGATTAGGTCAGAAACTGGGATAAGAATTCCAGAGAACTGAAAGGTACAAGCAGGGATATTGGTTGGTGCTTGGGAATTTGAGTCCAGGGAGGTTTTTTTTGTTTTGTTTTGTTTTGTTTTTAGTGCAGAATAGTGCAGTTTTTTGTGTGAGAGAAAAAATCCCACCAAAGAGGAGATGGATGGTAGTGGGTCTGTGCACAAATGAAAGCACGGGCCTTTGCATCACAGCAGAGTAGGCACAGATGTGGGTAGGTTAGTAGATCTCATGGCAAGAGGATGAGGTGGTCTTTTTTATTTCTGTTTTCTCAGTACACTAAAAAGAGTCATCAACAGAAAGTGGGAGGCAGTTCTGGAGGCTTGATGAGAGAATGTAGCTGTGAGGTAATTCACCTTGTAAAATAGGAAAGTCAGCACACCAGGGAGCCACAGTAGATTGCAGGGCATTCCTAAAGACCTGCTTGAAAATTGTTCTTGTAAATTTAAAACAAGACTGGTCAGCGTAATTGTATGTTTTCTACAGCCACATTTAGCTCCTCAGATAAAGGATAAAATAAGCTAAAATTTGGTTTAATCAGAACTGAAGTTTGCCCGAATGATAGTCAGGGGAGGGCAAGGGAAGGAAAAGAGACAGAAAAGGGAATGGCTATGGTGGCCATCCATGGACCTGAGCAGCAGAAGAACGAAAGAAAGTGAGAACATGGACAGTGGCTTCCCAGTGGTTTCCAGTTCTGGGAGGTTGTCAAGATTTGTCCAAGTGCAGGTTTTTGAGAAAGTAAGCCAGAAAGGAAGGGTGCAAAAGTGAGTGGGGTGTTGGTGAATGGTAGGAGTGATGGGTAAGGACAGCGGAGGGTGTGACGACCACCCACTTGTCTGCTCCCCTTCAGAGCAGAACTTCAGGGAACAGATTCTAGCTGGTGTCTTCACTTCTTTCTCCATCCTCTTTGGTCACCTTCTGTTCTTATTCCACTGACATTTAGCCTCACAAGCCGGTGATCACCTCCCTGTTTATACTTGGCCTCCCTGGTCTTGCCACTTACAACAAAAGTCTTTTGGCCTCAGTGACTTGTATTCTTAGCTTCCCTCCAGCCTCACTACTTTCCAGGCCTTTCTGATATTCCCTCTCCTCTGCTTGACCCCTGCGTGTTGACATAATCTAGGACTTGGTCTTGGGCTTCATTCCTTTCTCTCTGCTCTCCAACTGGATGATCTCTGGTTTCATGACTTCAATACCACCTACAAACTGATGGCCACCCACATTTACTCTAAAGGGTCTCAGACTTAGGTATCCAACTGCTTACTGATCTGTATCTTTACTCAACGTCTAATGAACATCTCCAAATTAATATATCCAAAACAGACTCTGTCGTCGCCTGCACCCTGAAGCCTAGGCCTCTTTCGGCTTCCTTATCCCTTCATCCGTGCAGTTTCTCAAACTAAAACTTGATGTGTCATGCCATGCTAATGTGTCATGCCAACTACTCCATTGCCTACGCCTGTATCCAGTCCATTCATTCATCCAACAGAGAGCTTCAGCTGTATGCCAAGGGGCTGGGAAACATCAGTGAACAAAATACACAAAATTATCTGCACTCAACAAATTTAAATGTAATGAGATAAGCCAAGTCAATGAGCGTTTCAGTTTTCAGTGTTTCCAAACTTAAGTTGGAAAGTCTGGGACACAATAGTGATCTTAAATAGGGTGACAGAAAAAGTGGAAACTGGAACAGTGAGACAGGTGGATATCTAAGGGAAGGAAACTAGACAGAAGACAAATACAAAGCCCCTGAGTCTTGAACATGCCTGGTGAGCCTGGGGTATAGCAGAAAGACCAGAGTGGCTGTGAGAGTAAAGGGGGTGAGGGGAGCAGAGCAGGGCTTCGAGGCTGTGGTAATGCTTTTATGCTAGATAGAAAGTAAAGGGATCACTCTGGCTGCTGTGTAAAGAAAAGATGTAAGGGGGATGAGGAAGGGAAAGCATCAGGTAGGGTGGCTAGTGCAGTAATACAGAAAGGAGTTCATGATTACTCAGATCTGGGTAGTAGCAGAAGATACACTCTTTAAATAAGAGCCAAGACAGACTGAACATGGGGTGAGAGAGAGACTGATTCAGGGAGACCCCAAGGTTTGTGGCAGAGCAAGGAGAAGTAAAAGTTTGACAACTGAGTAGAATAAGTTTGGCAAAACACAGGTTTAATTTAGGACATGCTAAGCCTATCTGGTAGACATTCGGAAAACGATTGGAGTCCAAATTCAGGAGTGGATCTGAGCTAGAGATAAACTTAGATAAACAGCTAGACTGTAAACTTACAGTCCCTGGCATATTGATAATACAGACCATCGAGATCATCAAGCCAGTAAGTGTGATAGAGAAGTGGTCACAGGACTAAGCCCCCGGGTTCACCAACTCTGAGAGAGAGAGATGATGGCCCTAGCTGAAGCTGAGTCAGGGACTGGTGTGGACCCAACCAAAAAGTGAGTCCTTGAAGGCAGTGAAGCTGATATTTTGGCAAGGAGGACGGACTTTCCTCAATCCAACCATGGGATGGACGTGAAGATGGTGTAAGAGGAGGAATAAGACTGAGAGGACTTTAAGGTGTTAAAAAGAGCCATTTCAGGGTAGTGGAGGTCATAAAATCCTCATTGGAGTTGGTACACAAGAATGATGACAGAACTTTAGAAGGACTTTGCTATAAATACAAAAGCTGGAAAGAAAGGTGCAGTCAGAAGACCTTATAAAAAATATGATGACTCAGGGGTGGGCAGAAAGAATGTAAAGAACAGATTGGAGAATGTGCTAGAGAAGGTGAGAGGGGAGGGCATGATGGGGTTGGCCTCTAAGAGTGATGGAGTTCATACTTAGAACCCTGAGGGGTGGGTGCAAATACTGGTGCATGGGTTGACGTGGAAGGTGGTGGAAGTTCCTTCCTGATTATGTCCACTTTCTTGGTAACCTGAAAAGCAAGAGCATGGTTAGATACTGAGGAGGTCCAGAGGTTTCCAGAGAAAGGTGGTATTGAGCAGTTGTCCAGGGCAGAGGCAGACTGAATAACCAAGGGGCATGTGTTGGCAGCACTGAGGGTCACTTGAGGTCAGTGGCCATGACCGAAAATAAGTCTAGCACTGTGCTTCTGTGCTTCTCCACTCAGCTAGGTGACTGCAGATGCTCATTTGGACGTACCTTAGCATGCCCACTGGGTCCTGTCACTGTCCCACTTAGAACCCTTTAGTAGCTTCCCATTGCATTTAGAATGAAGCCCAAACTCCTCGGCCAGCCAAGCCCTACTCAACTGGTCTCCACCTGCATTTTAACTTAATTTAAAGGCAACAGCCTCCAAGACTTCTTTCCATTCCTGGAACAGGCCAAGCGTGTTTCTGAGTACCCTTTGCACTTACTGTTCTCTGCCTGAATTCTCTTTCCTCCTGTCTTTTATTATCACCCAGATTTTATCTTAAAAGTTACCTCTCAGGGTACCTTCTTGGATTATCATTCAAATGATCCCCTAACCACTTAGACTTACTCTATTTTCATTCTTGTGGCAGTTTTTCTGACTGACAGTGTCTCAGTACCTAGAATCAGTACCTGGCACATAACAGATGCTAAATCAATATTGAAAATAAATAGTCTCATGAATGAATGAAAGAATGGCCACATCACATTGACTGTTAGAAGTGAAATGTAATTTAAGCTTTCGAACTAAAATATTTATAACACATTAACTTGTTTGGGTTTTTTTCTATTTATTCCCATTGAAATTGGGGGCCGGGGGAGCAGAATAAAATCACAGTTGAAAAAGCAAACATGGAAAATGTCCCATTCTGAGTTTGTAGCTGGCAGGGCAGATATTAAAAATAAAATCCTTTCAAATTATATTGTTGGGGAAATCTTTTCTGACCTCTCAGCTGAGTCACTGTTTATTTTATAAGAAACTTAACATCCTTGGAAGAATATTTGTTTTCTCAGCTTTTTAGAAATAGAAGTAAAAGAACCCAACTCCAAATGTGAGAGAGGAAAATATTAAGCAATGTGTAGTATCAAAATTGAAGTTCATCTAATATTATAAATAGTTTCCTTTCTTACTCCTTAGGACAACTTATCACAGATTTCAAAAGTTGATTCACTGTTTTATTAACTTCTAAATTCCTAAAGACTTCCTTAGCTTAGGAATGTGCTTCCTAAGTCTTCAAGTTCACTGCAGCTTCTCTGTACTAGCAAGGTCCATGGGCTTTGCCCCTCATTTCCTTAGCTGTTTGAAAACTCATCAATACCATGACTTTTGTGGTTATTTTATTTTATTCGTTTGGACATTTCTCTCCAGGGAAGCTTGTTTGAGATATGCTTCATACATACTTTGGTCAGTTTACATAATTTAGTCTGCTTTCATCTTTATTTTAAATTCTTTTGCTAACCTACTGCATCAAGCAAAGAAAAACCCTGGGCTTTCTTGTATTGAATAAATAGGTGTTAACAAAGATTTCTAGAAGTAAATTCTTTTCTGTTTGTGCCCTCAGTACTGGGCTTCCCTATGGTACACACCTAGTATTCTATTGTGGCTAGAACTGAAAGTGCAGAATTGTTTCTGTCTTATCTTTCATATTTCTCTGCCCCAATGTCCTTATCTATTTTTGTCCTTCAGCCCAAACCTCAAAGTGTCATTTAGGTTCACCATACCTTCAGCTTTGGTACATTCTTAATTTATGATTTACAGCTTTCTTTGAGGGAGCCTGCATTTGAGGAATTGCACAACTCAAAAGTAACAGAAACATGATTCTTTCAGAAACATTTCACAAGTCATAAATGTCCTTCTTTAGACAGGTTCTTTCCCCACCCTAGATTCTGAATTCATACGCTTTGTTGAGTTTTAGACATCCAAATCATATGTTCTTAAGAAATGTCTCATTCTGGAAGCCCACTAGATGAAAAGATTGCATTTTCTTAAATTCTGTCTTCAAATTTTCATTTGGTTTGCAATATGATACATTTGACAACCCTATATGAAAGAGATCTGAAAGTCTCTTGATCTTCAGTTGTGCACAGCTCCCTGCTTTCAAATTTGACTATTTTGGGGGGGGAAGGGGTACCAGGGTTTTAACTCAGGGGCACTCAACCACTGAGCCACATCCCAGCCCCATTTTGTACTTTATTTAGAGACAGGGTCTCACTGAGTTGCTTAGCACCTCACTTTTGCTGAGGCTGGCTTTGAACTCCTGCCTCAACCTCCCGAGCTATTTGGATTAAAGGCATGCTCCACGACACCCAGCTCTAATTTGACTATTTAAAGAGTAAAATAAAATAGGGAGTGATAGTAACAGACCCTTAGTTTCATTCAATTCATAGAATAAACATAATAATTCTTTCAAGTAGCAATTTGTTACTGCTTTCTCCCTGCCTCAATTTTTTAGTTAGTGCTGTTAATAAGATTATTTTTTTAATTTTTATATGGTGCTGAAGATCAAACCCAGTGCCTCATACATACTAGGCAAGTGCTCTGCCACTGAGCTACAGCCCCAGTCCTTAACAAGAATTTTAACGAACCTCTGTTTTTAAAGGAATTTGGCTTCTGAAGATAGTAAATGGGTAATTTGAGAGGGCATATGCATCAAATGGACTGATGATGAGGCCAGTGAGAGCCTCCAGGCCTCTCTCTTCCTAGCCTTTTCCAAGACTCACACAGTCACACCCAATTTTGCATTTCATAACTTGTAATAGTTTCTTAAATAGGACTCTCAAAAGCTTAGGCTGCACAAAAGTACCCTACTCTGACCTTGCCTGCATACCTAATACCTACATACCTATGTGTTGAACAGCCATTTTCTATCCCCTATGTGGATACTTCCCCAAAACTCTGGTCCTGATGGGGCTTGCATTCTTTCCCTTCCATCTTCCTGTCCCATAGTAACCTCAAATGTAATATGTACAAACTGAGCTCAGCATTACCCTTAAACCCCCACCAGATTCCGACTCCCTAACCTGTTCTTTCTTCCCCTCTGTGTCTCAAATCAGTGATTGACACTGTATACTAGTTTAGTCTTTGAATCTTGGGAGATGTCCCAGTTCCTTCAATATAAGTAACTTATCACAGTAGATTGCAAATATTTTTCAGTCATCTGCTAGGAATCAGTGTGACGCTAGATACTATCGAGGTTATGTAAGAAAGATAATGGATAAAGAGCATTCATGGAAACCAAAACTTCATCAACCTAAAGAGGTTTAATTGTAAGAGTGCTAGCTAAGGCAAAATAGGAGAAAATGTGACTAGGAAATATTGAAAGTCTGGGAAAAAGGAATTCTTCCCAGGTTTGGGTTACTTAGGGTTTTAGGCTGAGGATTTGAATTGACTCTTAAAGCATAGGGATGTAGCTGTAAGTCTTGAGAGATAGTACTAACGTGGAAATAGAAGGAGAAATAAGGACATAAAAGACAGAGAGGAGAAGGAGATTTAGGCAAGAAGATTGTTTCATGGGAGCTAAAAGAGAGAGTTAAAAAAAAAAAAAAGGAGGAGTAGACTTTGTACGGTAGCCTATCCTGTGATCCCAGCTATTTGGGAAACTTAGTTTGATTGCAAGTATGAGGCAAGCTTGGGCAACTTAGAGAGACCTTGTCTCAAAAAAGTAATAAGGGCTGGAAGGGTAGCTTAGAGCTGGAGTGTTCTTGAGTTCAACCCACAGCATGTATAAATAAATAAGGTAGGTGTGGTAGATTTGATGTGGTCAAAAATTCTTTGCCCTTCATTCCATCAAAAGATAAATTATGGGCCTGAGCATATGGCTCAGTAGTAGAGCATTTGCCTAGCAAATGCAAAGGCCCTGGATTCAGTCCCCAGTACTTAAAAAAAAAAAAAAAAAAATAGTAAGGTCTACTACTTCTAATGGCAACAGAAAACAGATGAGATATATGAATTTCAGAATGCAAAAGGGCCTTGGAGTTTCAGCCTCCACCACCTTGCAGTGTTGCATGAGAGAAAGCCACATTTGCTTCCTAGAAGATGGGAAGCCATGTGCAGGAGCACTGAAGCTCCCTACTGACCACCAGCACCTACCACCACCTACCCACTCAATGCAGCCAGATGTGATCATGGGCCTTGCAGTGCATCTGACCATCTCACCCACATAGCCCATGAGTGAATCCAAGTGAAACAGGCAGCACCACCCAGCCATGCCAAAGAGTCATGGGAAACAGCAGCTGTTGTGTTAGGCAATATAGTGGGATGATTTGTTATGTAGCAATAGGTAACTGAAGTGAAACCAGAACAGGGAAGGAGGAAAAGCAAAGGCAGAGACCAATGGATATGCAAGTCACTGGTGTCCTGGTATCTCAGTACTGGAAATGGCCTGAATCTGTCAGGAAGGTTTCCAGTTCCAGGTGGAGGCATTGAGTTACTGAGGTCTGAGGCCAGTAATGATTCAAATCAAATATCTGTAATTAATAATCTTGTTCAGAGCCTATGCTAATTATTTTGACTTCAACTTGCATAAAACCAGGCAGTGTGCTGGTCAGGCTGAGGATATATAGCCTTTCTGTATTTCTCACTGTAAATGGATCATTTTTGTTTTTATTTTACTTTAAAAAAAATAACCTCATCTGTATCAAAACTTAGCCCTACCATTTGATAATTACCTTATGGCTTAAATTAAGAAGAGTTTTTCTGCTTACTAAAGTAAAATATTTTAAAAATCTCAACATATATACCCACCATCAATTCACTATCAGGCTTATTCTTCCTTCAGATAAAAACTAGAGGATCAGTATGCCCACAGTTTCTGTAAGCATATTTCCCTCTAAGTGTATTAAACGTTTTTAAATGAAAATCACAACTCATAAAAGAATCACAAGTCAACAATGTGATTTTTCCTGTTATATTAATACCCAATAATAAATATCCCTACATTTCTATGTGTAATGATTTGATCCTAAGGAAAGAAACCAGTTGGCCTTCATTCCTACTCCTATGTGTCACCTCTTCCCCCAGGCCATCCATTTTGGCAGTTAAGAGCTTTGAGTTGTGTTACTAAAAGAAAGTTTTCCATGGCCCACTACTGAATTAAATTATTTAAATTCATTTACCCCGTTTTTTAAATGCTTATATCATATAAGAAACTCTCGTTCTGTCTCAAAATTGCCTAGAATGTGCCATATTTTGAACAATTAAGGATGTTTAGGCCCGAAAGTTTTATTAAGGCTGATAATGACAGCCTTAATAAGTGCTTAGGGATCAAAGATCTGTTAAGTCTGATAACAGATGAAGGGCTGAAGCCATGGTCCTGGCCCAGGGTGGACGTGTTATCCCAACATCCACCCCAGGTCTCAAAGAATGCCTTTTTTTTTTTGCCAGAAGCTAGAGAGATGGTTGAGGTTCTCTGCTCCTTACTGAACAGAGCTTTAAAAGCAAAGCCCCAAGCAACTTAGGAAGACACTGTCTCAAAATAAAAAATAAAAAAGACTGGGGATGTGGCTCAGTGGTTAAGCACCCCTGGATTCAATCCCTGGTTACCCTCCCCCCAAAAAAGAGCTTCACTTGCTGGAAAGCAATGCTTTTTCCACTTCCTTGACTGAATCACCCACATTGATGACAGGGCAGGGAAACCAGATTATGCACTGAGACAGTCTTACACCAAAGGAATATCTGGAAAGAACTTCAAATATTACTATTTAACTGTATATAAAAGTTGTGGATTTGGGGTTTTGGGGATTTGTTGTTGTTGTTGTCTGTTTTGGTACTGGGGATTGAACCCAGGGTTGCTTTACCACTGAGTCACATCCCCAGTCCTTTTTATTTTTTATTTTGAGACAATGTCTCCCTAAGTTGCTTAGGGCCTCACTAAATTATTGTGGCTGGCTCCAAACTTACAATCCTCTTGTCTCAGCATCCCAAGTTGCTGGGATTATACAGGCATGAGCCACTATACCTGGCAAAAGCTGCATGTTTGACTAAAGGCTATTTATTTATTGTTCAAAGATCAACGCATACAAATACTTACGCTTTTGCTAGTTCCATTGATATTTGTTCCAAAGAGCATCCCTTTGTTTCAGGTATAAAAACAATAACAAAAACCAGAGATGCTAAACTCATGATTGTATATATAAAGCACACCCATGGCAGGCCAATAAGATCTATAAGGAACAAAAGAAATTGATTAGAAATGTGTTTTGTGTTGCTTGGATCCCATTTTATAAATGCTTTTTAAAGCATATATAAAGCCATATGTATTTTCACAAATGCTAGTAGTATCCAGCGAAATAGGATTCATGAATTTAAAATGTAGTCAGCTCTGGAAACCTGTTCTTACTAATGATGTCAGCTTTCTCTGGTAAATAATAATCTTGTGACTAACCCGATTTAAATTCAATTGCCATCTTCTTGCTGGGCATGGTCATAGTGAAAACAAATCCTAAAGCCATACAGAAAAATACAATGCAGAAGATAAAATTTCTCTTCTCACCCTCCATAGTTTTCCCTCTTGGGAATTGACACTGTAGCAGTTTGGTTTTTATTTGGTGGACATTTGTAGTGACACATTTATACAGATGGACTTTTCTTAGATTGGGTGCATTCTATTTTACTGTGATATGAGTAACTTACTTCATGCAATATTTGATCACTTTTTAATAGTCAGTTGTATACTTTGTAATACTTCTTTCTAGATCCAGAGGGAAAAACATGTGATATTGGGTCCAAGAAAGACACCAGTGAGCTAAGATGCATCAAGAAGCAAGATCCTCAAGATTTTGATGGGTTTCACTTTGCCAGTCTAGTTTTTCCCTTGACCACTTCTAGCCAGTGGTACAATCCCTTTGTAGTCACTGGCCAATATCAAGGAACATTAAGTGATGAGGTGTGCCACCCCTCCCCATTTGCACTGTGCTAGCCACTTGCATTGTGCTGGCTCCTGGCTCAGCAGCATGAAGTTCCATGTCACAAGGAGTAGTGAGAAAGTAGTTGGCTCTTTCTGCGCATACATAGCTCAGGCCAACTGTAGATAAGATTTGCAAATAGCTCTTAACAGCTGCAGCCACAAATCACAGTTGGTCAGGCAGGAAAATGAAGAGGTTGTATACTGAGGCTGATTTGGTAAGTGCAGTGTGGAAAGATCTAAGCATAGTAATCACATGTGAGTGAGTTTTGCTGAGGTGGGATGAGCAGGAAGAGCAGTCCCTTTGGCCATTGCTGGTACAGGGCTCGGCCTGACTTATTGCTTAATAAAGTGCTTATAGAATTGGTCCTCTCTCTTTCTCTGAATTGTAAACTTGAATATGGAATTGAAAACCCCAAAAGGCTGTCTCATTGAATTTGACCTCAGTTCTGTTAGAGCACTTTCAGTAGCAAGGAGCTCACCTTTTCCCAAGCTTCCCCCTGCACAGTGATCCAGCTCGCTCTGCTCAACAGTTCTTTGTCACCTGAATCTACCCTTTAGTCATTCTGCTTTATAAGATAGAATGATTTGACCATTTTACATTAAAACCAAAATCATGCTTAATTAGTAAGACCCTCAAAAGTAAATTCCAAAGGTGATATACTAAATGTATATTCATGAACGTATATGTGTACATATATTTATGTATACATGTGTATGTGTATACATGTGTGCACTTTGCACATACATATATGTATATGTATAAATATGTGTTCACAACCCCGTTTTAATGACAGCCATGCAAATATTTGAATGCACTCTGTCCCTTTTAATGACAGCCATGCAAATATTTGAATGCACTCTGTCCCTTTCCTGAGACTTTCTTGTCCAAGTTGAACATCCTGAACTCCCCTCCATTCTTCTCAGAGCATAGGTGACCTGCCTTGGTTATCCAGGTCACCCTCCTTGGGTGGACACACTGCAATTTTTAAGTAACCTTTTCAGAATGCTTTGAGCTGAACACAATACTGCAGTTGGGTCATGCCCACTGTACAATATGTTTTCCTATCTGGAACAGTCTGCTTTTATTGATTCAAATGAAATTTCATCAAAATGTTGGTATCTGAGGGCTTGTTGCCAGCTAGAGCCTCACATCTTTAAGGTCTTTCTAACCCATACTTGGAAAATTGACTTTCAAAAATAAGTAGAAATCTTCAAGTACCCCCATTAAATATCATCTAAAAGTTTTAGATCATTCCAGGCTTTTAAAAATTTGGATCATTTTTCCTAACATTTGTTCTAAAAAGCCCATTTGGAGAACTTCAAATCTTCATTAGCTCATCCAATATATTAGCTAGCCTTCCCAAGGGTTTGTGCCATTTTTTTATGCCTTGACATTCCAATTCTCTCTCTTTTTTTTAATATTTCTTTCTTCACACCAAACAGCGAATGAAATGTGTGTGCGCACGTGTGCATGTGTGTGGGTGAGTGACGGTGAAGGGCACATATTTATGTGAGTTATCTGAGCAGGAGAGGTATGGCCAATGCTAATAACCAGCAGTGTAGTTTCCTTCAATCTTAGGCTATTTCTAAAAATGTAGGACATAAGGATTTTGACAATTTTATATGAAAACCAAAATCATGCTTACCTAGCAATTTCAAAAGCTAATTCCAAAAGTAATATACTAAATATATACACATATGTATATGTGTGTATGCATATATTTATGTATACATATGTTCATATATAAACATGTGTGTGCACATTAAGTAAATATCCACTTTTGAAAATAAACTATACAAACATACACATAAATATGAATGCAGACTACACATACAAATTGAAGAAACTGGGTAATTTGTTTAATAAAATTTTCTAATTTGGATTTTTTTATTTATTGTAGCCAGAATGACCCCTAAATATATGTGAAATAAGAAAAACCCGTTGATCTCTTTCTGCCCTAGTCCTGCCTGGACTTGTGGTTGGAGACCAGGGATGATACCTGCCTCACTGGTCAATTTTAGAGGATGCTGGGGCACCACCTCATTATTTTGGGAACTAAAAATAAAGTTCCAAGCACTTATCTTGCCTGTCTTCTATAATCCACACTTCAGGTTAGCTAAATCACTAAGAAGAAATTTCTCTCTAGAGAAGTATTCCACATAAAAACATAGAAGGAATGGTAGAATAAAGATAGTGGGTTTAGAAAATAGTGGCTCACAGCAGTTTAACATGGCAAAGTAGGAGACCATTCCTGACATTCCTCCTGAAGGTAGGACAAACCCTGTCACCTACCAGGCAGTTTGCAAACAAACCAGAATACCTAGACCTCCTCAAGTCCCCATCTAGATCTAAATATTAATGTACAGGAAACACAAAGAATAGAGGGACATGTGACATAAGAACAATCTACAAATTCCAGACTCTCTAAAATTCTATGAAACAAATGATCCAATTTCTTCATAAAAATATAAGGTGGGGTGAAAGGTGAGGGGAATGGAGATGAAACTGACAAAGTTGTGTTTCATACATTTCATTGTAGATTATATATTTGAATGTGATTCAGCCAAAGTATAAAAAGTAATTATAAGACAATTACTAAAATGTGAACACAGACAGGATATTTGATACTTAAGGATGATTATTAAAATTTTCCATTATACTGTGGTCCTATTTTTTTAAATATCTTTTTTTTAGAGGTCCCTGCTGAAATTTTACAGGCAAAAATGACATTATGTGTGAGATACAACTAAATTTGGTAGGAGGAAGATCAGGCGGGGTCATAAATGAATTAAGACTGAGAACAGCTTTAAGATAGGTAATAGGTACAGAAGGTTCATGGTCATTCTTTACCTCTGAGTGTGTTTGAAATTTTCCACAATAATTTTTTTACAAGGATGTCCATCCCTAATGTTTGTCTTAAGAGGATACAAATCATCAGAGGAAAACAAAGAGTTCTTACCAGTTACAGTCAAAAACGTCAGAGAGATGAGGAGATTGATGCCCCAGTTCATGCTAGAGGTTAAAGCCATGGCTCGTCCTCTGATCCCACCAGGGAAGATCTCGCTGAGCACCAGCCAGGGCACTGGAGAAAGAAAAAGTGACGAGACAGCAAAATTAGGGAAAACCCATTGTGATGGAGGGCTGGCTCATTGATCTCTCTGTGCCAGGGCCAATACCTGTGACAGCAGGACAGGACAGCCCAGAAAAGGAACATGCCTTCTCTTCACCTTCAGCCAAGGGAGACAGCAGACAATGGGCCTCCGGAACATGGAATACTGGTCTAGGACACAGGCTTTCGACACACAAAGGAAGGGGCAATGCCTGGGGCAACCAAGGGCTGACTCTGAACAGCCACCCAGCTCAGGAGCCTCAAGGCTAGATACCAGCTGCAGTTGCTACCGTATGGTGTCCTTTCCTATGCCCTCCTTTCCCCTGGACCTGGGAGAAGTCTAGAGTCATAGCTAAGGAGTGGGTAGGAAATGGAGCTAAAAGGACAAGGAATACCTGCCACTCTCCCTTCTTCCACTTGAACCTCCTGGCCCTGGGTGAGCTGGGTGGAGGGAAGCCCTAAATTCAATAGAACTTCCAAATGTGTTTATTATACCAGACTAGACATTTGAATTTCTGGAAGAAAGACTCTTCTTGGCACCAAGATGATCAGAGCACTTTTTTTTTTTTTAATTTTCTGTGAGTGACAAAGAGCATTAGGGATCCGCTTAACAGGATTAGAAAGAACAGAAGCGAGAAAATTAACTCATCTTCCTCTCATATCCCAGCCACCGAGTGTCTCTAGTAAAGTCTGAGCAAGTTCTTACAGGGAGCTGACTTTACAAACATCCAATAACATTGTCATTTGATCCTCACTAACCCTGAATAATTAGTAAGTATTTATTATTCCTCTTTCATAGAAGAAGAAACTGAGGCTTTGAGGGGTTAATGACTTGCCAAGATCACGGAGCTCCTACGTGACAGAGGTAGCATTGAACCCTGACAGTCAGTCTCTGGAACTCGTGTTTTAATCACTGTGCTGTCTTCATAGTGGCACAGTAAATATTTGTTTATTAATAAATAACTGTGAATGCAAGCACATTTGATTCTGTGGAAGAAGGACTTTGGAGCTGCCCAGCCTTGGCCCCCTGCTGGCTAAGGCGCCATGTGTCAGAAAGCCAGTGTTTGTAAAAGGACCAGCTGCATAATGCCAGCCCAGAAGAAGAAGCTATAAGCCAGGGAGGGGTCCCATTGGCCAGCACCTCTAGCACTTCCAGCACCAGAACCGAGCAGTCAGCTGTGTGTCTCACTGAACAATTAGCTGCTCACATCAAGATCACGTTCTCCTCGTTGTAAATGTGCTGTTTTACAGTAAAATAAATAAATAAATAAACTGAATCAAAAATTTCTTTTTTCTTGATTATATTCTCCAAGTGAGTCTATATAGGGTCACCTTGAAGACACGGAAGGTGACTATAACAAAAACAACATAGTTATTGTTTTCATTGATGGGAAGTTTTTTTAAAAAAATCCTTATCTCCCACCCTTTCACCTCACCTTTTCCCTCTACTCTTTTTCACCCCCAAAGACCTTTACTAATTTGTATCCTTGGTGGAATCTCTTTTCTCTTAGTGAGCTTAGTGCCTAGGTAATCCTATCTGGAGCTTTGCAAAATTGAGGCTCTAACTCTGGGTAGATTGAATAATTCAAAGCAAGCTTTCCAAAGGGGACCTAGCCTTGTGTCAAATAAAGTAAATAATCTATGCCACAGACATATACCCTACCCATGTCCCTTTCTGACATGGGCATTTGACACAGATTAGTTGGAGCTAAGGGTCCCTTAAGACCTTATGCTGTAACAGGAGGGAAAAGAGGGGAGAAATCCTTCATTTTCTTCTAGTAGAGGAGTTAGCTCAGATTTTCTTGATCCAAATTCTAGCCCTCCCTGAACACCTGTCTAACCTTCTTCTTTCTGACTTCACCTTTCATCACTATGGACTTTTGAATTATCTGGTGGCATTCAGTAGATACATTGCTGAGCTCATCAAAACCACATTGGCCTCAGATGAAAATGAACTGATCCTGCTGTTATAGAAAGTGATGGATTCCACCAACGTGAAGACAGGTGCTTGTGCAGAGCACAATTTGTATGTTCTCTGTCTGAATTGCCAGGGTCTCCGTGTCTTGAAAAACTTGAGATCCTACTGAAAGTCTATCCTAGGCATACCTTCAATTCAGCAGCTAAGCCAAGTCCTTGGGCAATATAAAATTCTGAATAATGAATCAAAGGTCGAAAAATAGACTTCCTTCAGTCTATGCTCTAGTGGGAACTTGTCAGACAAACCCTGCACCTGACATTTCCCAAAATAAACGTATCATTGCTAAAATCTTCTGCTTTCTTTTTCCATGGAATGGGAAGAATTCAACAATGGATGCCTTGGTTGATTACGATCAATAAACTGGATGTTGCAACAATTGACAAGGGAATGCTTCAGCCATCCCAAGATGGAGAATATTGTTTTAATAATGATTTCAGAGATATAAAATTCCAAGTTTTCAGATATGGAAGAGTGAAATAAAAACCTGAAAGTGGCATTTGTGATAAGAAAGTCTTTCCATGGCAATCTTGGGAGCAAGACAGTGCGAGAATATTATAGTCTTCATGGTTCTCCAAAAAGATGTTGTGAATGGCCAAACTGAAGAAATGGAGAAACTCTGCTTCTTTTCATAAGTAAAGAACATAGAGGTATAAACCACCACATTGGGATGTAATATGGCGATTTTTATAATAATGGGTGGAAGCTTTTTTAAAGTCACTATGTTTTCTTTTCCCAAGAAGGTGACCCAGTTTCTCCTCAAGTAAAATCCAATTATTACTAAAAGGGAGGGCTCCTTTTCATTGCCACAGGGAGGAGATGTGGCCCCCCCTGAGCATCCTCTTTATTCCCTACGCCGATGATAAACCAACAGAAGATGCATTGTCCTATTGGCTCGGAGGGGGATCTGCAGAGTACTCATGACAGTGACAGAGATTTAGTGAACTCCTACACAGTGAGCCCAGCAGCTGCGGCTCATAAACAGTTCTCCTGGACCCCTGTTATTTTTCCTTCAACCTCATCATTCTAGGGCCACCTCAGCAATTTGCACTCCCCATAAATGTCGGAGTCTACATGTCCTTAAGGTCTGCTGTATGCTACAGTGATTGAGGAAAATTTGGACTAGCATGGGCCACTGGGGAGGGGTAATTGTCCACAGATATGGAACTCATATTTCACATGATATTAAGTCATGAGGACCGCCCATAAGAACTTGCCCGGTCTAGATGAAATAAACAGACAGAACATTTATGGCTACACAGAGTGTCATAAAAAGATCACAAAAGAAACAATATGTTGAAGTCCCTCTGTTTTCAGTTGGGGACACAGACTTGGGTTAACAGGGGCAGTCCATAGAGATAACAGCCCTACCATATGTAAGTTACCCTGTGTATTTTCATACATCTCCTTATTTCTGGTCACTGCCTTAATTTTTCCTATAAACATTGTCATTTAACCCCCTACACTTTCAGATTTAAACCCTGCAGTTCTCTAGGCACATTTCCACTTGGCTGGGGTTCTTCCTGAACCACCTGGCATGCTCACCCAGAGTTTGAAAGACTCGTCGAGGTCTTGAAACTCTTGCCAGAGAACTCCTAGCAACTTTGGAGTCAGTTCTACACTCAAGCTACAGAGTGTTTAGCAATTTGATTTGCTAGGAAAGCTATGTCCTGTGCTTTGTAGAAATGAAGCCAAATCCTATGGTTTTTATTGTATTTGCAAGTAGGATGCAGCACACCCAGCTCTCTCTCTGAAAGGGGGTACTTAAAATGTGATTTTGAGTAGGAGCATGCCATCCCTTCCAACCAGATGTTTAAATTCTGGCCTCATAAGTTTCCTAAGTGGAAAAAAATGGCCTTTAAAAATAGACTCCATGATAGGCCACTAACTCCAACATCAGCAATCATGTATCAAATTCCTTTTTTCTCTTTTCTTTTTTATAGTCTCACTATTCTCTCTTTCTTTCTTTCTTTTTTTTTTTTTTTGTGTGTGTGTGTGGAGGGGGGCGTTCCAGGGATTGAACTCAGGGACACTAGTTCACTGAGCCACATTCCCAGCCCTATTTTGTATTTTATTTAGAGAAAGGGTCTCACCGAGTTGCTTAGTGCCTTGCTTTTGCTGAGGCTGGCTTTAAACTCGTGATTCTCCTGCCTCAGCCTCCTGAGTCTCTGGGATTACAGGCATGTGCCACCATGCCCAACTAGTCTCAGTATTCTTGTGCTCCCTGAGTTGTGCCACTTGTGGACTTTAGTAAAAGAAATACTTTATTCAAAAATATTATCTGGGATTATTTAAGTCACAAGCTAAGAAAATTGATAAAGTATTCCTCAATCTTTTGCCCTAATGATTTCAAATCAAAATAACTGAAAAGATTTTCAAATAGTATTTTAGGGAAAATTGGACTAAGTGAAGTAACCCTCAATTTATAAAAAAAAATGCCAATGTTAAAATTTGTGATCAGGTATCAGATGAGAATAGGAAAGAACTTTGTCAGTGGGCTTTCAGTTTTCTTGCTTGTGTTGCCTTTAAAGCAATTTGGAAGCTAAGTTTTTTTTTCCACATATAAGCTAATATCTAACATTTTTTTTACCATGAATTTAAATAGTGACAAAGGATGCAAATTCTTGTGTATTTACATTCTAGCATTTAAAGAAAAATAGTTATGTCACTTTTTTAAATGCTTCTGGCAGAATTTAAATATGATAAGTGTTTGATACCTATTACCATCATCCATCCAAAAAATATGGGAACAAAGAATTAGCATAAATTTTACAGAGTTTATTTTTCACTTGACTTAATATTTTATCCTACTAATGAATTTTTAAGCCTCAAAATCTTTCACTTAACACCCTACCATGCTTCTCCTCAAAAAAATAAAAAAGACCTTAAATTAAAATTTTAGGTTTAGTTTTATTTATTCTAAAAGAGTATAAGTATTTTTTTCTGAATTGAGTTATTAAAACAATACTTAATACAAAACAAATCAAAATCATAGAAA